TTTTTTTTTTTTTTGTAGCCTTTTTGGCTATTGTATTGCGATTTTTTTTCAGTAACTTTTCTGGCTACTGTTTCAGATCTTTTGTCAGTGGCCTCTCTGGTTAAGTTTTCTTTTTCAGCACTCATTATTACTGCATTTGTTACTGAAAATACTGTTATAAAATATATATTTTTTTATTAACTTTGTTATAACTTTGTTTTAGAATACAGAATTTTATTATGAATTTAATATATTTACATATATGAAAGTGATTTCACGTGTCATATATATAAAATAAAGTAACAAAATATTTAAATATTTAAAAATTTTGTTACAAAACAAAAGGGTTATTTTCTCTATCACTTTTTCTTTCTCTGTATTCCAAATGTTTCAACAATAAGGTAGAATTTTATAAATATTCGAATTTGATACGCATAAATCAAAGTTTATTCGCGATTGTCATTTATTTGTAACAAAATTTTTGTAATGAACATTTTGCGCAATTCTTTCTATTCTTCGTATATTATATAACCAATAAATAAAAGCTGGAAGACAGATCAATGTAATTTTCACTTCTTTCAATTTTATCAAAGATAAATTTTTAATTTTTGATTCGATTTTTTTCAGTCCAATTTAAATCGAATCACTAGAGATTCTTCCTTTCAATTTTCATAATTTCAAGTAAAGAAAACAATTCAATTCAATTAATAATATATAATTATGAAGTAATATGTTGACAACAATCTGACTTTTTTTCAGGTCTTTTCATTTTGTCTATTTATTTAAATTATTTTGTTTGCTAAAAAAAATCATAGATTTTTACTTTTATTTTGTTTTGCCAAAAAATCACAGAATTTTTACTACGTCGATAATTCGGAGCATGGGACACAAAGTTCCATGAGATGCAATGTCTACTCATATATGTATATATTCGTTTGTATAGAAAGTTTTCAGCATCTTCTCACGCATACAGACGTTAGAAGAACGAATTTTCATTGTTTCTCTCATCGTACAGGAACATATTTTTTACCATACCGACAATAAACCTGTACGTTGAACCAGGCAGAGAAAATCGCTACGCGAAGAAAGCGTTTTTTTCACGCGTATACTTATGTATATGCAGCAGAGTATCACTTTTGTTAGTACGTGGGAGAAGCGACCGGTCTAGTCGCTTAGAAGCTGGGATGCAAAATTGAAAGTAGAATGTCTCGCGCTTCGATCGAACGATCGTTCTTTTTATCTATTTTTAGCGTCGAATAGACGCTAGTTGCAACATCGTTTGATACGGTATAATTACTGTCGTAAAGTCGAGAAAGCGGTAAAATATCGCTCGATAAACGTACGATTCCTGGAATGAAACAAACGATTGGATCACGCTTGCGTTTCCCTACATCAGAAATCATCGGGGACTACCGTCATCGATCTGCTTCGATTTCCGGTCTTCCACGTCGACGCACGCGACTTGTTAGCTCGCGAGGCAATAAAACGTTAATTAGACTTATCTAACGCTCGTTCGCTCGGCTTTTCCTCGTCGACGATCTGGTTCAAGGAGGTTTTGATTCTTGCCCTTTTTTGGAAAACGGAGGTGCGTGCAAATGAACTATAATTTCCTACAGTTTCCTGGAATTAATCAGGAAAATAGCACACGCGATCGTGATTGCTTTCGATCGCGAGCTTGAGCAGGAAGTGCATCAGAGTTCAAGGAAAAAGGATGATTCGAAGAAATGTCGAGTGTTGAAATTGGTAATTTGCTCAGATCTGCATAAATTGGTGGAGTATTAGACTTTGGAATCTAGAAAGTTTCCTCTCGGTTATAGCGCGGTATTATTTCTCGGTTATATCTGTATTAGATCTATTATTATTATTTTTTTACAAATGACGCATATATACTTTTCCAAAAATATAAAAATGCTATGAAACATGGTTATTTCTAACGTTACGTTAGGTTCAAATCTAAGATATTGTTCTGATTAATCAACTCACACGAGTTCAAGCGAATCGAATTTAGACTGCATTACTAACATAAATCTGTTCACTTGAAATATCGTTTCAAGTTTTCATACTTGTTCTCAGTTAAATCGCTGGAACTTGCGCAACTTGGTTAATTTGAACTAGTTTTCACGTTAGGGGGGGGAAAAAAAAAACAAATCAAATCGAATTTAGACACCTTCAAATTCTATAAGTACATTCAAATGTAATCGTTCTTTGATCAACAATAAGTAACTTTGAACTTTTACAATTGAAGTAGAAGATTAGCTCATAGTACTTATAACATTGAACGAGATCGAGCTGCACATGACTTACTGCCGGAAAGCCATCGGAAAGAAAAAATAAAGAGAAAAGTATTTCTGTCGTCTTGCGATCGAAGATCGATTACAAGAAAAAAGAATCGACGTACATTGATCAAGAATGCGTGTCGATTAAAAAATGTTTAAATCGAGAGACCGCGGCATACCGGAAACGATGGTTACAAGTTTTTCATTTCCTGGGAAGACATAACCAGGCAGGAACATTCATCCGGTTGCGCTACATTCGATCGAGAATCTGGTCTCGTTATTCTGCAATCGTTGCCTCATTACGTCACTCGTCCATGCACCTTCTAACAAGCCACGATTCTTGGATCAATAGTGTATATACATATATACAGTCACGATCTACATTCACGATACAGTGTACCAGGAACAGACTTCGTACGCGTGGCTTTCGAACGCTTTTACTTGGACATCGGCCTGACCCGTAGCATTGAAAGAAGGCTGAAATCCCTCCGCATATTCCCACGTGTTATCTAATCTAATATAAATACAAAACGGACAAGGGATAGACGGTACACAACGGTGATGGAAACGAGTATGTTAAAGTTTCGACTCGATGTTTTCCAACAGTCATAATAAGACCATATTACCATAGACCGTATGAATAAATCAAACGGGAATGCCGGCGATTAATCTTGAAACGGAGAACGTAGGTTCCTTGCGGATAATCGAATATTCGCGAGTGAAAATGGCCCTCGGTTGTCAACGATTACAGAGGGTTCGACGTACCGCAATTTCGCAGATTGTAGTTCCTCGAATATGATTAACGATCCGTACCGGACAGATTATATACGAAAAGAAAAAAAACGCGAAACACCCGCTTAGAGAATAATCTTGGCGCTGAACAGTACCTTCCATGCACCTCCGGTGCATTTACTTTCAATCGAAAAGTCGCGCTAATCGTTTCGATATGCGAATGTAAATTCTGGCCGAAGGAAATGGCAAGAAGTTTTCTTAAATGTGGAGCAATTTCTGTGATGAAACGTGCCACGGTTTTATGCATCGCGACGGAAAATGATACATTCTTTCCGATGGATATAGCTGTCAATCAACATCGGTTCTCCGAGAGTTACGACATGAACGCTTGTCACTTGTTCTTACAGCGGAGATAAGTACACGCTTGAATAGAGAGCGGTTTTACATGATTCGCCATTCTTCTATGGCAAGAAATGTTCTTGGAAGGAATAAACGGACCTTCTACCGTAAAACTTGAAATCTGAGAAAGGATTGTGAACTCGTTCGCAATTTCTCAGGGCAACATCACTGTCTCGGCACCACTCCCTCGGCTCGTTACTTGTTCAAGGTTAACAGACTCGGAAGAATTGCAAATTTAGCGTAAATCGTACAATTCGGGTTATTCATTCAATTCAAATTGTACACTCCTTCGTTTTTCTTTTCATTAATTAAATTTTATTAATCCTTATTGACATTACGTTATAATTGTTTCAAGAATCTTGTACACGCTACATTGTTCTTTGTTAGTGAAGCCATAAATTTCACAGGACAATGCCTGTCCTCCTCGAGATCGCAACGCTGATTTATCAATTAGCTAATTTCCGACCGAAAGAAAAGAAGAAAGGTTATTTCATAAGATGACGAACTTGGACGTCGGATAAAGCTCTCGGCTACGTGGTTGAATCGATCGATGGAAATAATTCTTTCTCGAATCGAAGAAGAATTTTCGTCTGTCGTCATCGGTGCAAGATCACTTCGTCTACAACCTCGCAAACTCCTCAACCTGAACCAGTTACAAAAGAATAAAAATAGAATAAAATATACAAAAGAATAAAAATAGTCAAATGTGAACCAGTTATCCACCTGAAAGTCATTCGACACGGCCTATAATCTATAAGCAAGCTTCGTATTGAAAACCAAGAAACCGGCAAATCTAGTCTCGGAATTTTACCAGTTCAATTACACGAACGTATCCGTGCAGTTGAAACGATTCAACGGCAAAATGGAGACAGTACCGGTGGCGAAGGAACGCGTCAAGTGGAAAAGGAGCAAGACGAAATGTGAAATGTGAAATTCATCCGAAGTGAGTCAGTCACGTGGATCGGTTCCGTTCACCACGATGAAGAAATAAACGAATTGAATTATTTTCAACGCCGTTCCATCGAGCGTGCCAAATGCCAATTGATCCGACGAGCAACAAGATCGCTCGCTTATCTTATGATTTCCGCGGGAAAATAGCGAGACAATGGTGGCGCACGGTCGTTAAAACACGGCGAAGAAGCGTTTCGGACACGGAATCTGGCGTCGTTGTGTTGAAATGCGTCGCGTGTCCGATCTAAATCACTTTTCACTGGCACGCTCCGCTTAATCTACGCAAGCTGCTTTCTTCCGACGTTGCTTTCCTTTTCGAAGAGAAAAGGCAACGCTCTGGATTCACCGTCGACTCGTTCACCATTTTCCTCCGCTTCCGGCGTTCTTCTCTAATTATCCGTCTCTTCGTTTTGCTCTTCCCTATCTCGTTCAATGACTTCTGATATATTTTCTCTTGCTCGACGATACGACATTTTTTAATCGCTCGTCGTAAAAGAAAGATTGAAAATTTGACGATAAATTTCTTGCTGATTTTTTGGTGAAAGTGTTGGAACACGGTATCTTTTTTTTATCTCTTATTTTTTATTATTATTAAATTTTTAAGTTACCACAATCGAATGTCGTTCACAGTTAATTAAGTCCTAGTTGGTAGTCGATTATACATATAAAATTGAAACGAAAAAAAAAATTTTTTTACAAACTTATTTTTCTATCTTGTCTATTGGTATTGATTCTGTTGATAAATTGGGCAATGAAAAATTTTAAAGAATTGAACTCGGCTGTTCTGATTGACAAATTAAAACTTATCGTCGACTATTTGTTGACGCTGACGAACTCCATAAATTGAAAAGTGATGATGTTACAAATGAATGATGTTGAAAGTGAAAGCAATTTCATTCATTTTTCAAGAATGAAACATTAATCACCCGTTTGTATAACGAAATTGACAGAATGATAAAAAGTAAAGTTTATCAAGTCTGATTTCTGAAAGGTTCAATTACGAGTGTACAACGAGTAGACGACATGCGTGCCGATCAATCGAAAACGCAGAAAACATTGTAACACAAGAACAACGTCGAAATGTAACCGTTTTCCAACAGTGGTTTCATTTACGTTGTAGACCAGTAATTTCACGGAACACTAAGATCGGTAATCGATTCTCGATAAGACGAAACAGGTTTTCAACCGATTTGATTTCGTCAAGAGGCACGAAATGTCACTTCCTCCATACTTCATTTGATAATTACAACGGTTTCCTTTCTCTCTCTTTCTTTTTCTTTCTCGTTCGCACGTAACCAGAAAATACAATCCAGGATGAATATGCTACTCCGTTGAAGTTTCCTGACGTAACGAATCCATTCGATACGACTGGAAAATCAATGATCACCATTTAGGAGTAGTAATTGAATACTTTACTGTAGAACTAGTTTAATTAACCTAATCGCGAAAACGGGAAAAAAGAAACAACGAATAAACGACGATGTAATGAGATCATTCGAGTACCGGTATTGCTTCTCTTGGAAATTACTAGTCGTATTATTGTCATTCTTTGCACAGTGATTCTTTTTATTTAAAAATCTTTTATTTTTTTGTTATATATTAGTTTACCCCTACTGGAGGATGTTATGTTTACAATTTGCAAGGATTGAAGGTTAGAACCTATCTTAATTCATTTTTAATTTAGCTGATTCAATTGACACGTTAATCTTCTCTTAATGTGTTAATTTCCTTCGCATCTTATTCTCCGATACTTATTCTACAATTGGAACAGGAGGATACTTAGCATGATAATTTCCAGCATTTCTAGTCTTGCTTCTTGGAGGAATGGACGCAGAGAAATGAATCGATAATCGTTAGATATTCCAGTTTGTGTTTCTAAAAGTTAGATCTATCAGTCGTTATAGCGGGTCGAAGCGTATTTTCGACGGCGGGGAAAAAATTGTGAAAAGGAGAAATCGAAGAGTGCTTCCCCAGCGGCGAAGTGGATATTTCTACCCGATCCGAGAGCACCACGCATAAATATGCGTACCACTTGAATAAATCTCGACCGCCTTTCAAAACCCTAGGCTAGGTACGTTGATCTGGCACGTTCGCTAAACGGAGGATTTTCACTGACCAATAAATAGCACCTGTCCAGCGATATTTATAGGTATATGTATCGACTAGAAGCTCGTAATCGAGGACAAATCTACTCGATCGTGGTCTCTGAACCTGGCACCAAAACAAAGTTCCAACAGTTCTGCTCTGCAGTTTTGTAAAAGCTCAAAATCGACGCTTCTAAACGAGAATTGCCAAGCAGAAACCTCGATGGGATCGTTCCTCCCGATCGGTTGTGTTGTCAAGGTGTGCCAAGGTGATCCTCCGAGTCGTATCGAAGGTATAAACAGTCAGGTAGCACCGAGAAGTCGTGAACGTGTAACACGTGTCAGTGCAAGGAAGCTTCTAAAGGAACGCGAAACGCAGCTCGAGCGTAGACAAAGTGCCCGGCCCCTCCACGTGCGCCTACCTACTATCAGACTCCTCTGTCAGAGAGACGGATAGACCCGGTAAGAAAGAACCCGATGGCGACGTAGAAGGGCGCCGAAGAAAGCTAACGTTATAGCTTGGCGCGATCTTACTTCGGTGCAAAGGAACCCCACCTAAAACCCCTTCACCTTCGTCAGGAGTGGAGTCAGAAGTTGTAACCGACGGCGGGGGGATTTGAACGTCACTTTTCCAGACCTCTTAAGCTAATTATTAGCAGCGGCGCCTTCCAAACATCTGGAGATATTACCACCTACCCGGGTATCGCTACCACCTACCACCTACTAGCCGACACTTTATGCCACCTCTCCGGCCGGTGCCGTACGTCTCGATCTGAAAAGGAGGTGAATGCGCGAAACAGTGTATCATTGGACAAGAAATTGGGGCAGGAGCCAATGGTAAGGTGCGCGAGGTGGAGCGATAGGTTTTAAATAGATGTACAAGAGCACACATTGGATTACGACTAGTCGGATAAGACCGATAGACGCGCGTATCACCGCGGGATTTCGGGAGCAGATACGCGACCTCGCGTCTCGTATCGGGTCCGTCGACGAACGTCGTCGCCGTGGTGGTAGTTCTCGCATTCCTTGGGGATAACGGGCGAACGGTGTGAAACTCGACGAGGGAGAAGTGACAGTTGAGATACACCGGCGAACACAAAGAACGTCTCAGTCGACGCTGAGCCATTGCCTCAGCAAGTCTCACCACAAGTCGGAGATCTAGTTCGAGAAAGTTTCCACCGATCACCAGCCATGAGACTCGCCGCCGGTGGCTACGCGATGCTCGTGCTCGTGACGATTTTTGCGTGCACGCGTGTCTCACTTGCGATACGTGTCACGCAAACCTCCGGTAGGAAGAACGGTGAGTCATTTTTCTTGCACGTCTTCTTTTTCTCTTCTCCTTTTCGCTCTTTCTGCGCCTTCTATTCACTTTATTCCCTCTCTATCGTTGCCTCTACCTGCGCCATTGCTTCTTCCTTCTTCCTTTTCTTCCTCTTCTTCGCTCCGGTACTCGTTTACGTTTCCTTGCTCGGTTGGCCGCACCGGTATCTTCATCCTCCTCGGATTCACGGTCCTCGACCTTCCCTTGTGTCTTCCCTCGCTCCGTTTTACTTCCCAGCCAATATACTCCACCAGTTCCCCCTTCGGTCTTCTTCCTGCTTCTTCTTGCTTCTCCCGCTACGTACTACGATCGTTTTTCTTCGCGCGTTCATTCCCTCGCTCGTTTCATTCAATCGGGTCTCGCCAGTACGTGGATTTTCGTGCGCCGATCTGACAGCAGGCAGTCGCGAGTGAAGTGTACTTAACTCGAACTGTGTGCGACAAAACGTATACCAGGCAGAATCAGTGAAGGATATTGTGATGTGTCACGGGATAATACTTTGTTCGAGGGGACGTGGCTGCGCTACACAGCGACGAGACGATTGTGTTTTCTCACGCGACTCGCAGGTCTTTTTCTTTACTCTGATCAAACAAACACCGACCGACTTTCGTAAATGTCATAGTAAATGTCAGGCGAGATTCTCATCTCTCGTGTGATTCTCGATCGATTTCACTTGGCCGTGAACCGTGTTAGAAGCTGGCGTTTCGTTTCACCGAACGGATAAAGCATCGTCGTGGAAACAACCGACTCAAAGTTACTCGTAGTACCTTCGTAGCGTGCTTTTTCGTCAACTAAAAATCGAACGGATCGATCTTTCAAAATTTTCCGAGCAAACGCTGAAGTTTCCTTGAGAAACTCGTTCCTAGATTTTTAATGAATTTTCGATATTCCAACAAAATATCTAATAACGAACGGTGTGCACGTTCGCCAGGAATGGAACCGCAAATTCCGACGTTTTTCCCGATCCTCGATGTCCCGATACCGCGAGTGACAGTTGATGTGGAAAGTAACGCGCAAAAAGCGCGCGAAAGAAGTCGATCGATTTCAAACCAGAAGAAGAATCTTCTGACGAGACTAGAGAAAGAGAGAGAAGTAGTGTTGTTTGCTGTGTGAAATTGCACCGTTACGTCGCAGACTATTCACGAGTACCACACAAGTGTCTCGCAAGTAGGTCACTCAAGGGATTAAGTCATTACGTCCATTTTACGTCCGTTCGATCGACATTGGATAAATCTCTCTTACGGCAATTCTTGTCGTTCTTTTCTCTTTTGACTGGTTTTGCCTTTCCGGCTCACCGACGTTTCTCCTCGTCTCGATCGTTGCCCGTTAACTGTGAAAACTTTCGATTACGACCGGCAAACTCGATTGACTAGGATTCTAGCGCGCAAACGCATGCGCTCCGGTCAGCTGACGAACTTTTAACGAGGGAAGTTTGAGGCTGGAGACCAACCGACTCGCAAAATACGGCAAACGTTACACGATCGCCGTCTGCGATGGAAGTAATTGCTACAATTATAGCAAGCGCGACTAATCGCTCTACACCTAGCAATTATTTCCGATTTCTGTTAGTCACACGATCCTCCAAACGTCGTCCAGCTCCACTAATGTCATTTAAATGAAGATCAAATCACCAAATTTCAAGTTGAGTTTCCCGATTACCAAATCTTTTTTTAATATCATTAAAAAGAAATAAAACAAACGATTAATTATAATTATTTAAAGGTTAATCTGTTAATCGACTTTTATGAAAAATTCGTGGAATTGGACCTGCTGGCCCATCGATCATGACCTCATTGGAAAGAACGACACGACGAATATCGTTTCTCTTAAATCGTAATTTTTAACGATCGTACATTTTCAGTTTCCCTCCGTAATCTTTAATCTCGGCTTCCTTAGTCTCCCCTTTAATTTTTTCTTTCTCGCTTGTCGAGAGACAGTGTTTAACAGAGGCACGAGCAGTCGAATTGATGTTCGGAGTAAGACATTTTTGTAACCAAATGTACACGTGTTGAAATATCGTTACACACATCGTACGAAAGTGGAGGTGGGCGCAACTGGACTTTTACGAATCTCCGCAAGATTTGTTCCGTGGTTGGTGCATGTTCGACATTTGCATACAACAACCGATTGTCCGCGGCAGAGTTGTTTAACTTTCGAGCCTGAATTCATTAACGAGATTTTCACCCGAAGTATTTCAACGGCGGTAAATTCAGAAATTACGGTACGACCGACTGACCGTTCCGATCGGCAAACTCGCATTTTTCTCTAGCGACCCAGCGAGCCTAAGCCTCAAGTATCGATCGTATTATTGTATCATGTTAAAGAATCATGTTCACGTACGTGTTCGCTAGGAACAAAATGCAAGGAACTTGATAATCATTGGCGAATTAATATATATTCTTTCAGCGGATCCAACAATAACTTCTTTCCTCTCATTTTCCCATAGTTTCTCATTTCACCGAAATTGTTGCTAAAGAACCATGTGCGTATAAAATACATACGTGGCAATCGTTGACGATTCCTCCGGATCTAACAATCTCGACCGTTTTCCTTTCCATTTTCTCCATCTTTATATATCGTACTTCAATCAATCTTACGGTACGGAATATTTTCTCACTTTCCCAAAAATATCGATCAATCATCACGTCAAAGAATCACGTATTAGAATGCAAGAAACTTGACGATTCCTCCAGCGAATCTAGCAACCTTGATAGCTATACCTCCCAGTTTCTCTATTTCTACGTAAGATAGTCCATTCAATCGTCGGTGTAGCTATTAGAAATTGGTTTTCAAACAGCGGATGGCATACTGCCAGCGCATATAACAGTTTATCGTAGACTGGTCGAACAACTTGTTCACCTACATATAACGTTTACTGCTTCTTCGTACGCGCGTGCTCGTTTCCTGCTAGAATTCTCGAAACTGACGTAAAAATTGGCTTGTCAGGTTCTCGAGCCTTGCTGATCGTCGTCTTTTTCTTCAGTCCACGAGAGAATCAACGTTTCTGTTCCCATCTTTTATTGCGTCGTTTCTTCTCCCTGCTACTCGACTCGTCTCTTCCATCCAGCCAGTTTCGCGTCCTTAACGGTTCAAACGAGGAAACGTACAGCGTGTTTTATGAATGAAACACGGCGGTTCGAAGAATCTGATCGTTTGGCCTTCGTTCGTCGTGA